GGTGGTGGGCGCCTGTAGTCCCAGCTACTCGGGAGGCTGAGGCAGGAGAATGGCGTGAACCCAGGAGGCAGAGCTTGCAGTGAGCCGAGATCGCACCACTGCACTCCAGCCTGGGCAATAGAGCGAGACTCCGTCTCAAAGGGGAAAAAAAAAAATCAGCTAGCGTGGTGGCACATGCCTGTAGTCTCAACTACTCGGGAGGCTGAGGTAGGAGAATCACTTGAACCCGGGAGGCAGAGGTTGCAGTGAGCCGAGATCATGCCATTGCACTTGAGATCGTGCCATTGCACTCCAGCCTGGGTGACAAGAGTGAAACTCTGTCTCAAAAATAATAATAATAATAATAATTAATAAATAAGAACTGCCTTATTCATTTCTGCATCTCCTAAAATTGCCAACGCGAGTTCTCTTATAAGGTAGGTGTTCCAATAAATTAAATGAGCACATGAAGGGTGTAAGGAGTAGGTGTAAAAATGGGACAAGAAACAGATTAGAAGAGGAAGGAAAAGAGACAGAAAAAATGACAGAGGGGTTTGGGTTGAAGTGACTTAGTGATGAGGTAGCAATAGCACTAGATAAGCAAAGTGACCCTGGAGGTACCTCATTAGAGCAAGAAGGATGGGCGAGGTGGCAAAGAAGAAAGAAATCAATGCCCTAGTGACACCAGATGTAGGAAATGATGGTGCAAGGGCAGGACAGAGGTGGCCTAGGCCCACTATTGGTGGGCGTGGGGGGTAGGGAGGAGTGGGCTGATTTAATGGGGTTGGGTCCACAGGGTGGTAGGCACACACGGACCTGCTTCCCTAAGCCTGAGTACATTGCCCTGGAGTCACCGAGCCAGGACTATGGCTTTGAGCTGCTGGGCATGTGCCGGAACCAGAACGAGGTCACTGACCCGGCTCAACGACCCGGCCGAGGACAGCGAGACGGAGCCCAAGGCTGAGGGCCTGGGCCTAGCCTTTGAGGAAGGCATCCCCAACCTGGCGAGGCTGCAACTGGCCGTCAACTACAACCAGAAGCGGGTCAGCTGGGCCATAGCTATATCCCCTCCCTGTCCTTTTCTCTTGCCCTGCCACCTCTAGGTCTCCCTGACCCAGCCCTAAGCAACTCCTTTTCCTGCCCTCCAGACCCTCTCAGGCCTTGGTCCTGAGCACCCTTCTGTCTAGACCCTTGGCCCTGTGGGTCCCCTCCCTTCTTACCTTCAATATAAACCTGTAACCTCTCCCCAGCCCTTGAAAGACCCATTACCCACCAAGACCTCACCTCAGACCAGGACATCTGGTCTTAGACAGCTTTATCTTTGACCTGAGTTACTTGAATCCAGTCTTTCTGTTCAATTCCAGTACATCACTCTATAAAGCAAGATAAGACTAGGTCTCTCAGGCCTTAAATATCCCCCAAAAGATTCCATTATTGCCTGTCTCCTCAGACATCTTCCCCTCTAAGCTAAAGACAGACTCCTTGTTTAGCCTCCCCCAACCCCTTGCTCCTCACTCTCATCCACCCTCAACATCCACCAGGAACTTAACCAAAAACCTTCTTTCATAATGGCTCCCCTGGCCCTGTCTCCCAATACAGCGAACCCTGGTTTCCCTCTTCTGCCTTCCTCAAGACCATCTAGGCTAATGTCCCATATCTCTAAGAAGGCCAGGGACCCTGGGGGTTCTGGGTCTTGGGTCCCCAGTTCTACCCACCACTGTCTAACTTAGACTCAAGAATGTAGGGTCCAGAGAGTTCAGGAAAATCTTTGAGTTCAGTTTCCCCTCCATCAACCAAAGCCTAGAGAGTGATGGGTCTGCCCATGGTCACATGACAAGCAAGTTGACTGATGTGGGGAGAAAAGAAGAATTGTTCGATCTCTGTGGCAAGGAAGGAAGGGCTGTGTACCCAACTGGCTCCCCCATCCTCCTCCTTGCCTGGTGGCCTACCCCTCTGCTTATGCCCCATCTCTGCTTAGTTTGTAGCACACCCCATCTGCCAGCAAGTCCTGTCCTCCATCTGGTGTGGGAACCTGGCTGGCTGGCGTGGAAACACCACCATCTGGAAGCTCTTTGTTGCCTTCCTCATCTTCCTCACCATGCCCTTCCTCTGCCTTGGCTACTGGCTGGCACCAAAGTCCCGGGTACTAAGAATAAGATTAATGACAACTGTCACTTATTGAGCACTTGTTTTATGAGGCCCTGGGCTAGACACTTGGTGAATATAACTTTGTGTAAATGTTTCCATTAAGTAGCTGGAAGTGCAGCCCTGAGGAAGGCAGACATTCTGCTTCAGGGGTATAGGGTAGCAACCTGAGGCACAGGGAAGGGCAATGCTCTTTTTGTCAAAAGTACACAGGAAATAGTGGAGTCAGGATTTAAACTGAAGTGTCTCTGCCTCCAAAACCTTAATCCTATTAACAGCCCTATATTCTCCTAAAGACAGGCCCACCCCGACTACAAATTCCATGGGAGCCCTTCATCCAACCAATATGTCCTTGAGACCCAACTGTGAGCCAAGCATGGTGCCTGGCACTGGGGTTATGAAGAAAAGCCCTGTTCCTGCTGAGCAGGTGAGGAATAGGGAGAGGGATGTTCCAGGAAGCAGGAGCAGTATGTGTGAAGGCCTGGGAGAGGGAGAACCCAAAGTGTTAGAGAAACTGAAAGGAGTTAGATCAAGAGTGGTGGAGAAGCACTCAGGGGCCAGATCTCACAGAGCCTTATAAGCCACAGAGGATAGCAGCCATTGTAGGATTAATGAGGCGAGTCCCCCATCAGTCTTGTGTTTCAGAAAGTGCCTTCTACTAGGGGTGTGAAAGGTGGGCTGGGGATGCAGGGCAGGAGTTAGAGAGACTGGTGTGAGAGGACAAGCACATAGAGATGTCTCATATTCCCGGCCTGGGTGACCGGGTCATTTTATGAGGTGGGGACACAGAAGAAGATGGAAGAGCAAGATAGGATAGAAGATGATGAATTTCTTTATTTTTTATTTATTTATTTATTTATTTTTGAGATGGAGTCTTGCATTGTCGCCCAGGCTGAAGTGCAGTGGCAGGATCTCGGCTCACTGCAACCTCTGCCTCCCAGGTTCAAGCAATTCTGCCTCAGCCTCTCGAGTAGCTGAGATTACAGGTGCCCACCACTATGCCCAGCTAATTTTTTGTATTTTTGGTAGAGATAGGGTTTCACTATGTTGGTCAGG